CATTCTACTTCTGGCTTTTGTACTTTCTATGGTGATCATCTTGTATCATGAAAAAGTAACAAGCAAGCAATTATTTCTAATTCTTCTGCAGAAGCTGAGTATAGCGCTATGGCATAAGGCACTTGTGAGATTCTATGGCTACGTTCTATTTTGGCAAAGTTAGAATTTGAGGAGACTGCTCCTGCTTCTTTGTTTTGTGACAACAAGTCTACTATTATGTTGTCTTCTGATTCTGTACTACATGAGCGTACTAAGCATATAGAGGTTGATATACATTTCATTCAAGAGAAGGTTCGGATTGGTATTGTGAGACCATTCTTTGACTCTTCTCAGCAGTTAGCAGATATGTTCACCAAGTCTGTAAGCCCAACATTATTCCAGTAGTCTATCAGCAAGCTGCATTTATTGAATATCTTCACACCAGCTTGAAGGGGAGTGTTGGAATTAGGAAATAGTGATATTGTAATTATGGTAGTGTTGGAATTAGGAAATAGTAATATTGTAATTATGGTACTGTGTATAAAATTTGTGATTGTGTCAATCACAGATTTAATACCTTTTTTTTATCTCCGTTTCCTATTTTGTTCATTTCCTATTTTGTAATATTGTTTCATTATAAATACAAGGCTCTACCTCATTCATAGGTAAGCCAAAACAATTCTTTTCATCTTTTTTGGTATAAGAGCGGATGTTCCTAACAATGGTACGAAATTGTGTCTTAACCATTTGCGGTTAGTGTGGTTAGCCAATTCATGCATGCACCTCGTATAGAACATCTTGATGGGGTTCATCACATCTTGAGATATTTGAAGACCTCTCCTGGCTTGGGATTGTTCTTCATAGCTAATCCTCAATCTGGATTCTCCTGTTTTACTGATGCTGACTATACAGGATCTAGAACGGATAGGCATTCTACTTCTGGCTTTTGTACTTTCTATGGTGATCATCTTGTATCATGAAAAAGTAACAAGCAAGCAATTATTTCTAATTCTTCTGCAGAAGCTGAGTATAGCGCTATGGCATAAGGCACTTGTGAGATTCTATGGCTACGTTCTATTTTGGCAAAGTTAGAATTTGAGGAGACTGCTCCTGCTTCTTTGTTTTGTGACAACAAGTCTACTATTATGTTGTCTTCTGATTCTGTACTACATGAGCGTACTAAGCATATAGAGGTTGATATACATTTCATTCAAGAGAAGGTTCGGATTGGTATTGTGAGACCATTCTTTGACTCTTCTCAGCAGTTAGCAGATATGTTCACCAAGTCTGTAAGCCCAACATTATTCCAGTAGTCTATCAGCAAGCTGCATTTATTGAATATCTTCACACCAGCTTGAAGGGGAGTGTTGGAATTAGGAAATAGTGATATTGTAATTATGGTAGTGTTGGAATTAGGAAATAGTAATATTGTAATTATGGTACTGTGTATAAAATTTGTGATTGTGTCAATCACAGATTTAATACCTTTTTTTTATCTCCGTTTCCTATTTTGTTCATTTCCTATTTTGTAATATTGTTTCATTATAAATACAAGGATCTACCTCATTCATAGGTAAGCCAAAACAATTATTTTCATCCTTTTAACTTAATTATATTTGGTTTTGTATCTTTAAAACGGCCATGGAAGCTTCAACTTCTTCTGAGGTTGACTTTCAGATTCCAGCCAATTCCCGCATACCACTTTCTGTTCCATCTGGGGATGAAGTCGAATCAGCCATCTCAAGGTTTACAAGGTAAGTTAGTAGAAAAATATTGGGTTAGGAACTATTCTTATGTGGGTTTTATTTATTTATATATTTGTGTGGTTTTTTTTTTTTTTTTTTTGGCAATTGAACATAATATTTATTTAGATGATGTAATTTATTTTGCTCAGGTTTAACTAATAATTTTTTTTTTTTTTGGCTTGGTTGATTTTATGGACTAATCAGTTAGAGGTACGTGATCTATCTCCTTTACGGAATAAATGAATTCCTTCTATTAGTCATTGCTTAAGAGTTAATAAGCTACAATTTTTGATAGAGTGACACTAAGGGATTTCCTAGGTAATGAGTTAATAAGCTGCAATTTTTTATAGGGTGACACTAAGGGATCTGCTAGGAGTGGAGATGGATCCTCTAAGAAGGATGCAGTTGGAGCTCAACTTGGTCCAAATGCACAAGTAAGCCTCTTCTTGTAGTAATTTTGAATGCACATATTTTTTTGATCTAGTAGAATGAACTTCTTGCTAACAATTTGAGTCTATTGTCTTCTTGATGCTTTGGTGGTGAATAACTGTGGCAGTTTGCTCATCAAGGTTCTTTTACACAAGGCATGAACTATGTCAATTACCAAGTGTGAATTCCAAGTAAATCTCTCTCTCATGTTAGTAGACATTATCCATTCTAAGTAAATCTCTCTATAATCAAAATGTTATTATAGTATTTGTCCATTGAAAGTTTTATGGTGTTTGTATGTATGGAATATTGTATAGTATCTTCTTTTGAAATTTTTTTTTTCGAAAGATTTTAGGTACACACGGAAAGTTGTATTCTCTATCCTATTCTTGTACTCTCTCAATCCCATTCTTTTAATAGTGTGAACCAAAGCTACTTTTTTTAAATCAGTAAGTGTTTCTTGTCTATTTAAAAAGTTATATTTCTCACTTGGATAAAAAGAATGGGATGGAATGGAATGGAATGGAAGGAGTGTTTTAGTTTTTGATTTTCGTACATTTGTATGCTCTTTCTTATCAAGGAAATTGATTAAACAGCTTTATCTATATTGGATCGTTAAAACCTAGTTTCTCAACTTCACAGTTGTGGTTAGATCCGTGTTTTGTTGTTGATAGTTTGATATGATTTCTATGTTGGAAATATCACACATACAAAACTATGTATTACAAACTAACTAGACACTCATCATTATAATACTTCATCATGTAATGACTTCACATACAATAAACAATAGTCAACTATTAGTTACAAACACTATTTGGATTGGTGGATTTCTCAACACACCATCATCTCTAGTGGCTATTTATGACACCAGTTTATTTTAATTTGTATGCTTCTAAATGAGATCTCTCCACCTCTTATATAGTCATCCACCTCCTCAATGGACAACTTGGATCAACTTGATTCAAGGGTTATCATTAAGCTTCCTTATTCCATTATACATTACAATTGTCTACTCTAGGACAACTTTGTCATTCTCTATACTCTAGTATTGTCTACACTTGTATATAGTGGGGTTTCTTACCCTTTCTAGAACTTTTTGGATTTCTCTATGTTTGTCCAAGGTTCTCCCATGTTTTGGATTCTTCTAAGATGTTTTAGAACTTTTTGGATTGCTCTAGAATTTTCTAATGCCCTCTAGATTTTTCAAAATCTAGATTTTTCAAATGTTGTAGAATGTAGTGGAAGATGCTAGCGTGTCTACGTTGAAAATGTAAAATTATTAAATAAATAAATAATCCTAGAATTTTAGCGTTGAATTGGGAAGCACACTTTTTTTTCTTTTTTAATATGCATCATGGATATTGCCTCTTCCATTTTTCCTGGATGTTATTATAAATCTTGGTTTGATTTTCTAGCATGAAAATATATTTTTTGTTAAATTTTCATCTACATGTTTATTCTCACGAGTCATGATATTTGATTTTTTTTTTTCTTTTAATGTTTTTTTATCTAGTTGGTAAGTTTTTAAACTGGTGTCAATGCATAATACTAATTTTATGACATTTTAACAATCTTTTCAATGAGTATGAAATTGAAGCTCTCTCTCTCTCTCTCTCTCTCGCGCGCGCGCAATACTCCTCTGCTTGACCTTGGGTTGTATTTGTCTAGTAGTTCTCATTAGTTTCTTTCTTTGTTTTGCTTTAATTGAACAAGATTATATAGTTGTCTTCTCATCTTTTGTATAGCATTAGATGCCCCTTAATTTTGTGGAACTCCTAAACAAGTTGTTACACTTTAGGCTTTCACTGCTTTCAAATTAACATCTTTTAGTTGCCGTCCTTAATAAGTTAGAATTTAAGTTCTTTGTTGCCATGGTTATTTTGCATTATTCAAATTTCTAACTTGCATGCAAGTTAGATGATTGTGTTCAGTTTTGGCCTAATACATCTTGTTTTTGTGCCTAGATGGGCCATAACAGTATTACCAGAAAAATGTTAACACCCTAGCGATTTACTTTTGGGAACACGTTTCGAAATATGGTACACTTCCATTCTAAAATGGTGAATTTAAGGGATTCCCAAATATTTTTGTCCATATATTTCCTTAAAGAATTCCTTAAGAAGCAAAAAATCTAATATAAAGAACTTAAAGAGTGGATTTTTGGCATGTCAAACATAAAAAAGAAGTTATAACGGTTCTAGAAATTTGTTGTTACATAAGTAATTTTAAAAATAAAACTAAAATCGTGAATGGAATAATTGTTAAAAGAAAATTGCAGTAGAAGTACCTTTAATTGTAATAGTGTAATTTGTATATTTTACTCCTATCATACCACATTTTAGAGCCATGTTTCTGTTCTTATACCAAAACGATCCATGATATAGGCAACGTAGGGCTAGGAAGTCCATTCTAAATAGCCTACTTGTTTAAGAACTTTTTAAAAAGTTTGGCGTGTACTTTCTACTTTCTTTGTCTCATGGTACCTAATTAATGTTTTGTATTTTTCTGTAAGTTGTAGAGTTTTCTGCACTTTTTCCTTTTTCCCTTTATTTTGTTCTCAAATGAAGGTTAGATGCAGCTTAAATGCATCTCTTATTTGTTTTTGCAGTATTCCATCTTATTTTTATTATTGGATAGGCTAGAAAGTGCATCCAATGTCCCTACTTATTTTAGAACATTTTATGCAACATTTGTAGACTTATCTTTCTAGTGTATGTTATATGCTTCTATAGTTGTACTATCTTCTTTACCATGTTGCTTAAAATCTTGGTTTATTCAATTTTTTAGATCTATATGCACCTTTCTCCCCTTTTCCATTTCAATATTTGATTATTCAAATCTTGCGTTGATGGGAGCATTGGCAAATATGTTATGTACCCGTATATATATGCAAACCACATTGTTTATATGCCTGCGATGTACCATTTTAGAGTTTGTTGAATGCTCGATACATGATACTTTTATGAACATTACAAAAGAGAAGAGCACCAAGGGGGCGCCACCCTATACATAAGGTTGCAAATGAGTTGAGTCGAGTCGAGCCTGCAACATTTGTAGACTTATCTTTCTAGTGTATGTTATATGCTTCTATAGTTGTACTATCTTCTTTACCATGTTGCTTAAAATCTTGGTTTATTCAATTTTTTAGATCTATATGCACCTTTCTCCCCTTTTCCATTTCAATATTTGATTATTCAAATCTTGCGTTGATGGGAGCATTGGCAAATATGTTATGTACCCGTATATATATGCAAACCACATTGTTTATATGCCTGCGATGTACCATTTTAGAGTTTGTTGAATGCTCGATACATGATGCTTTTATGAACAGTACAAAAGAGAAGAGCACCAAGGGGGCGCCACCCTATACATAAGGTTGCAAATGAGTTGAGTTGAGTCGAGTCGAGTCGAGTCGAGCTGAGTTTTGCTAAGCTTGAGTTTGTTTATTGAGCTTGAGCTCGGATCGATAACTAATTGGGCTTGGGCTCGGCTCATTAATATTAATGGAATTCGAGCTCGACTCAGCTCGATAAGATTATTATTATTATTTTTTATATTATTTAAATAAAAAATATTAATTATATTATTTAATACAAAAATAATGTATTTATGCTATTATATGTATATATTTATGATATAATTTAGATAAAGACAAACTAGCCGAGCTTATTTGAGCTCGAGCTCGAGCTCGAGCTCGGTTCGTTTACTAAACGAGCCTAATATTCGAGTTCAAGCTTGGCTCGTTTACTATACAAGCCAAACCGAGCCAGTACACAACCCCTACACTGCAATCAAAAAGAAAAATAAAAGGAGCCTACAGACTTCTATACTCCCACTCATAAACAAAATGCCAAAATGGGATCCACCCTTTCCACCAACTAGGGTTCGTTTGGGAATTGGCTTTTTTAGTGGCTTTTTACTATAAGACGTGCAAAAAAGTCAACCCATTCTCTCTATTTTTTTGCACATCTTTTTTTTTGTAAAAAGCAAAAAGCCAATTAAATTGGGGTTTGAAAATTATTCACCACTTGAGTAAACGAAAATATAAATGGTTCCACACTCAACAAACTGGGGTTTGTAAATTGTTTACCACTTAAGACCTTAGGCTGTGATGTTTACTTTTCATCTGTGGTTTGTAAATTGTATGTTAGCTTTGTTGCATGAATGGTTTCAAAGGAGCAATTTTCCATTCACACAAGGTAATTTTGTCCACATGCAAGTTGTTTGGGTATATCTGATTTACATAGATAAAGCCTCCACTGCCATGGAAGATCTGTTGATGATTGCCTTTGTAAATGGTCTGTTTCTGTTTGGATCTTAATTAGCCTTTTTGCTTCCTTCACAGCTTGGTAGCACCTTAAGCTATAATGTTTCCCCATTATATAGCTGCTTACCAGTACCATTTACCTGGTCAGTTGGTCCACAATTCTTTTGCTTGCTCATGTTATGTAATCTAGCAAAAGATAACACAATTGTCCCATAAGTTTATTTAAAGCTTAGAAAATTGATGACCTGTTTCCATTATGACATAGTTTGACATATTGCCACACTGCTAGCAGGTCTTCTGATTGGGTCCTTAAACTACTAAGTTGTCTCAATATGTGGTCTGGAAAACGATGTGGATGTTGAGATGGATAGTCACCTTCGATATGATCTGTAGGACCTTAAATTGGCTTTTTTGGTCTCAAATTGTGATTGTCCTGATACACATTGAATGACCATGCTGTTTCCTTATTATTATTGCGTTGTCTTCTTCAGTCCACTTGGAAAGCTATATTATATCACCAGTCAATGCTTACCACAATATTTAAACTAACATTTATGCATGTAGTAGTGTCTTTCCCAACCATAGTTGCATCAATGGATGGAAACCACCTTATTTCTAGGCAGATTGCTGCCCCATTGCCATATTACGTTGGTTGATAGCCGCCTTAATACATAGAAACTGTTATGGTTTTCTTTCTTAATAATGTTTATTTATTTTGTTGCTGAGCATAAAAAAAAAATCCTCTCATGTGTGGTTTGAATGGCTCTAAATATGTAATGTTGCGTGAAATACTATGTTGAATTAATTTCTGGCAGGTTGGTAAATTATTAAGCTTATGCAATAAAATTTTCAAGCTTTTAACAAGATCGTGGATTCCGTAAATTGCTATTAGTTTAATCACATTTTGGTCATATTGGAGCTCCTTTTCTTTGCTTGCGGTAATCTAGTCATTACATATGTTCATGCATAAGCCAAACCCATGGTGGGGGGAGGTGGCAGAGGTGGACGGTGGGAGTTGTGAGAGGGGTGGATGGTTTAGGGTTATTGTATTCTTAGATAGGAGATGAAGATGAGGGTGACCTTGCCTTTTCACATTAAAACTTGACTTTGGCTAATTATTTTACTTCCTAAATCTCAAAATAGGTGCGCAAGCCACATTCTGTCAGTTTGGACAGAATATGTAACACCATCTCCAATGGAGATGTTAAAATTGTGTGTTAGTGTTAATGACAAAAATTGTGTTTGTGGGTTGGATTGGATATGTTAAATTGTGTGTTGGTAGGAGCGGGGTCCACTTATGTATGTGTAAATATTAAAATAAATTATAAAAAAAAAATACGAAAAGTGCAGTGGGTCTATCAACAACTCTCTCTCTCTCTCTCTCTCTCTCTCGTTAGTGGCCTTGCCACAGTTAACAATGAAGCTAACATGCGAGTATGTTAACAATATTGTTAACAGCTCCATTGCAGCTTTCAAAATCTAAGCTGAGGAAAAAAAACAAAACAAAAAAAAACAAACAAAAACAAAAAGTATCCTTGCCTACCTATAATTTTAGGCCAAATAGATCTTTGGTGACACTGTTGCATAGTTATTCCTGATGTTTATCATTTCATTTTGCTTACTTTCTTTCCAGTTCATTTGTCCCAAATAAATAAATAACGTCACAGAACTTCTATTCTGCCCTACTGGGCTGTTTGTAGTTAGTATGCTGAGTTGTTCTGAAGAACCTATCACTAGACATGTGACCATCTGGGGACAGCCTTCTAAGCATTCAGATCGTGATATGATAGATGTGTTTGCTTATATTTAACTGTGCTTTCTTAGCTCTATTTAAAATCCTTGTTGGTTTTTGAGATTTAATAACTGCCTTGATAATGTGATTTATTGGACAGCTGCTCCGAAATTTTGCAGGCACAGGGACAGCAATCTAGTTGTTTCTCCCATGCAAGGCACAAAGTAAGGGGGGATCCAGGTTTTTCTTACTGATTCAATAATTAAGGATTCTATGTCTAGTAGATATTGTTCAAGGCTTGTAGCAAACCATTTAATATAAGATTTATCTTGTCTGATCAAAATACTGTAATGTCCTTATTTTTTAGGGGTGTTTTCAATTTTTTTTTTCTTTTTTTTATTGTCTTTTTTAATTTGGTGGAAGGAAATAGAAAATGTTTGGATGCTGTTGGTGAATTTCTGAAATAGTATTGTTTATCTTTTGTACATTTAACTCTTTTATATAAGCATTGTTATCTGAAATTTGAGATAGACTGTAGAAACTAGTAATCTATTGCTGTGCATCAACAGTGTGATTAGT